ACCTTGAGGCCAATTCTACAGGCAAGCCCTTGAGGCCATTTCTTACTTTGAGAGTCTTTCTGGCATAAAAAGACTCTGCATAAAAATGGGATACTTCCTTTTTTAACACATCTCTGTCTCTTGTGATATCATCATACATCACTTGTGTATCTTTGTACATCCCTAAAAGAAGCCAACTGTCACTCTGAACATTCAGCCTGAATGTTGCCAAATCCACAAGTTTATTAGGTATACTTTCTATCTTCTGTGTTTTACCATATATCTGGCCACAAGGGTTGTCAAACATTTTGCTGCTGCTAACACCATTTCTCCAACCTTCAATAGCAATTTTCTCACTGCTCTTACAGCTCTATTACAAGTCTTTTCCCCAGACTAAGGAGACATATCAACTAAAAGCAAGTGAGGGAACCTGGATTAAATCTTGGAACAGAAAAAGAACATCACTACAAAAACAAGTGAATTTCATATAAGGTTTGTACCTTGTGTTAATTTCCTGGTTTTGATCATTGTTCTGGGGCTATTAATAAGTTCTTGGCCAGGAACTGTGGCTCATGCCTGTAATTCTGACACTTTAGGAGGCTGAAGTGGGAGGATGGCTTAAACCCAGGAGTTCGAGACCAACCTGGGCAACAGAGTGAGACCCCCCCATCTCCTGAAAGCAGGGAATTTTTTTTTTTTTTTTTTTTTTTTTTTGCAGAATCTCACTCTGTTGCCCAGGTTGGAGCGCAGCAGTGCAATCTCGGCTCACGGCAACCTTCACCTCCTGGGTTCAAGCAATTCTCCTACCTCAGCCTCCCAAGTAGCTGGAATTACGGGCACGTGCCACACGCACAGCTAATTTTGTATTTTAGTAGAGACAGGGTTTTGCCATGTTGGCCAGGCTGGTCTTGAACTCCTGGCCTCAAGCGATCCACTCACCTCGGCCTCCCAAAGTGCTGGATTACAGGCGTGAGCCACTGTGCCTGGCCAAGACCCCCATCTCTTAAAAAAAAAAAAAAGAGCTATTAATACTAGGCCTGCTAGATAACAAGTATACATAAACTCCACACCAGGTCAGGCATGGTGGCTCACTCCCTCCTGTCATCTCAGCACTTTGGGAGGCCAAGTGGGTAGATTTTTTGAGCTCAGGAGTTCGAGACCAGCCTGGGCAACATGGAAAAATCATGTCTCTACAAAAAATACAAAAATTAGCTGGACATGGTGGTGTGTGCCTGTAGTCCTAGCTACTTGGGAGGCTGAGGTGGGAAGATCACCTGAGCTCCAGGAGGTCGAAGTTGCAGTGAGCAGTGATCGCACCACTGTACTCCAGCCTGATGACAGTGAGACCCTGTGTCAAAAAAAGAAAGAAAAAAAAATTCATACCATTTTTGCAACTTTTTTCTAAGTCTAAAATTTCTTCTAGGCCGCACGCGATGGTCCACGCTTGTAATCCCAGCACTTTGGGAGGCCAAGGCAGGCGGATCACTTGAGGTCAGGGGGTTTGAGCCCAGACTGGCCAATATGGTGAAACCCTGTCTCTAAAAAAAATACAAAAATTAGCAGGGAGTGGTGGCACATGCTTGTAATCCTAGCTCTTTGGGAGGCTGGGGCAGGAGAATCGCTTGAACTCGGGAGGTGAAGGTTGCAGTGAACCGAAATCACACCACTGCACTCTAGCCTGGGTGACAGAGCGAGACTCCGCCTCAAAAAAAAATTATTTTAAAATAAAATATTTAAAAACCAAATTAGTTAGGCATGGTGGCTCATGCCTGTAATCCCAGCATTTTGGGAGGCTGAGAGGGAAGGATTGCCTGAGGCCAGGGCAACATAGCAAGACCCCAGTCTCTACAAAAAAATAATAATTAGCTGGACATGGTGGCATGTGCCTGTAGTTCTAGCTACTGGGGAAGCTGAGAAAAGATTCAAGGGAGGGGAAACAGACTCCATCTCCTTTTGGTGGGAAGGGTGGCATGTGTGTAGAGGCATGGAGGAATTGTTGGTGGCCGTCTTCCACAATGACCCTAGTCCTCTCCCCTATAAATAACTCCCAAAACAGACCATTTTACATTGTTCTTCTCTCAGGTCAGTTCTGCCTAGAATATCTGTCATTTAAGAATCCTATCAGCTGACAATTTGATTAGCAACTGAATGTTTTCAGTTGTTTTCTATTTTGCTCCTTAATCTTCCAGTTTCTTAACATGCTTACTCATCTATTTTACATGCATAATTCTACTCTAGGACTAATGTATTTCCCAAAAGATTCATTAAAATTCAATGAAATAAAACAAAAGTGATAATACATATATATAGATGTGTTTGCATAAATACATAGAAATTATCTGGAAGAATAAACAAGAGATGAGATAACACATTATCTCTGAGGACAGGATAGAGAGGGAAGGCTTTCAAGGGAGATAAATTTCTCTTTTTGTTTATTGCTTTTTATATGGTTCAAAGGTTCTTTACAATGATTATTATTTTTATAAGGTAGAAAGGTGATTTCATCAATTAGAATTAAAACTAAAAATATGTCTATTATCAAGAGAATATTAAAAAACTAGGAAAGAAGCTTGATTCTAATTTTATTTTAAAATAAATGAGCACCCTAAAGAATTTCCAGAATTTAAGCATAAAGGTCTGTTTGGTGTTTGCTGGACCATAGGAATACACAGGAATATCTGCCATAAATGGTACATAGTAGAGATGTATGGTAGACAGGCTGTATCTTATCCTGAATACCCTTTCTTCCCCAGATCAATGGTCTTGAGCAGATCTATTTTTCACTCTTTGTACTATTTAATAACTTTTCCTGCTCAAAGAAAATGTTCTCCAAAAATAATCATATGACAGCACAGTACCCCACCTTCTTCCATTCAAGAAAGTGGCAGACTGCTTTATCATCCAGTGCATAATAGCTAGAAAAAACTTCATAGATCTGCTAGTTTACCAATCTCATTTTACAAATGAAGAAACTGAGGCCCAAAGGGTTTACATGCCCCAGATTACATAGCAACTCAATGAGGGATCCTCAGTTGGAGCCTGGAGAATTCCCTGTTATACCCTATCAGTGAATAAAGATGGTAAGAAAGTCTAGCTTGTATAGAAACATAAACGAGTTAGTTAGAAATTTGACTAGAGATGGCTTTTAATGACATTTTCAAGTCTTGGAAAGGAGTGAACAAAGAAAACACGGAGACTGCTTAAATAGAGATGATAAATAGGGTTTGGGATGGAGAAAAACAGGTATAAGTGAATGAATGATTCCCGATGTTCACTCTCTAACCTTAAATGTCCTGAAATTAGCCCATGACGCCTTAGTACCTTAAGGATCAAACATTAAAACATGAATAGCCACATGTTGCAAATTTGTTTCTCCTCCTCAGTTCCTAAGATTACTGGGAGTGTCTTTCAGACAAGAATATAAAGGAGGCAGCCATTATATGTGGACCAAAGACAGAAAAGGGACTCTTTTGAAAGGAAGGAGGAAGGACTCTTTTGAAAGGAAGGAAACACCAAACGCACAGGGAGGAAGGAGAACGCTGCCACCTGCTGAAGAGTTGGAGTCAATGAAAATGCTGCCATGCAGTTACAGTCAGCACCTTCATCATGGCTCAAAATTAATTAGAGAACCTCTTCGCAGTCTGAGGCAGGTCAGTGCTGAGAGAAAGCTTAATTCTAGATTAAATCAGGCCAATGTGTGCTGGAGAAAGGTTAGTTTGTCTCTGGTATGAGGTGGTAGAGGTCTGCATATCTGCTTCTCTTTCTTGCACAAATATTTATGCTTATTAGCTTTGAATTTTTTCCCAAAACCTAAATTTCTAAATACTAACATATTATCGGATGAGTCTAGATAAAAGTGATATAAGAAAAGGCAATACAAGGAACTTTATTCAAGTAATGCATGCACTACGTTAAAAATTCTCTAGGGCTCACCACTATCCTTCCCCAGATAAGTGATTTCTCCCTCTTCCCACCCCCCGGCCACCCCGCCCCCACCACGCCCCACCACCCAGAGTTTTCCATTTCTTCCTCTTCTATTCATATACAAATATACACACACACACCAAGGACAACTGCAGGAGACGGCTGGGAGAAAGTTGCCAATCCTTTGTATAAAGCCTCAGTCTTTACCTTTTCATCCATCCTTCCACTCTCCTTTCTCCTGCCCTGTCTTGCCATTCTTTCTTCCAATCCCTATTTTTCTCCTCTTGACCTCTATCTTTCAAGATTCCCTTTATTAATATACAAGAAACTGATATGGCTGAGAGATCCCATGGGAAGGTGATATATACAGGACTGCCAAGTTACGCAACTCCAAGGCCACAATTGGTATCATATGTGATGCTGTTGTTTTGTACCTTTTGATTTTTCAACCACATAAATGTGTAGTAGCTTTAATTTATATTTAATTATATATTTAATTATATATTTAATCTTTTTGAATCTGACCTTGGTCCCCAACGGTAGACCACTGTTTAATTTCATGGTTACACTAAATAATAAAATAAAGCAGTTCTAGACCCTGCCCAGTTATAAGTCTCTTATTAAACAGTGTTTTAGGATCAATAGAATAAGTTCAAAAAATACTCCTATTGTGATTTAGATTTTTCTCTCTTATAGGAACTTCAGAAAGAATACCATAGAAAAACCTAATGTTGTCAGAACTAGTTTAGGATGGAAATTTTAACTTTTCTAAATACAATAGAACAGTTCCCTTTTGTAGATTTTGGTTACTTAATTGTACTAAATGTGTTACATTTCATTTGGTTTTTTGTTTTTGAGATGGAATGCCCAAGCTGGAGTGCAGTGGGGCAATCTTGGCTCGCTGTAAACTCTGCCTCTCGGGTTCAAGCGATTCTACTGCCTTAGCCTCTCAAGTAGCTGGGAGTAGAAGTGCACACCACTATGCCAGGCTAATTTTTGTATTTTTAGTAGAGATGGGGTTTCACCATATTGGCCAGGCTGGTCTTGAACTCTTAACCTCAAGTGATCCGCCTGCCTCGGCCTCCCAAAGTGCTGGGATTACAGGTGTGAGCCACTGCACCTGGCTTAAATGTTTACATTTATTAAAGAAGGTACAGGTTTGCACTGCAGGGAACTCTAAAGAAAAATGAAGTCTGTAAGGAAAGTCATGGTACTTGAAAATTAATTTGGGAATATTTCAAATCCTTAACATAAATTTTATGAAGTCAGGGAACTGGGAGAAAGCTAATGAATAGAAACCGACCATTTTCAGAAAAATAAAAATAACCTCATTTACATACATGGCTCTGAGCCATAAGTCATTTCTGAAATTTCTTTTCTGGACATGGTATCTTTGTCTTGGCTAGCTCCCAGGGTGCAGCCCCCGGCCACCGGCTGCTCCCACTCTTGGGACCACTCTTTTCCTATATCACCTGTTGAAACAAGTAAGAGGGAGGACTTAATTAAGATGTGCTTTATTCTTGTGTTCTTGTAGACTTGTTCATTGTAAAATAGGATTTTCTGCATTTCAAATCTTGTTTATTTTACAATGTTGTGGCATTTCTCCTATTAACTGGTCAACTTTTCCTTATGACTTGAATTTGGCACGTTAAATGTTCTCACTCCTTTAAAGCAGAATTAAACTGAGTCCTACTTGAGAATGGCCATTATTCTGTTTTTGAAATGTACTGTCCTTTGTAACTACATACAGAAATCTGCAAACCAGAAAATGTTTGCCCTTATTCTTTTTTGTCCTTTACCTTATTCAGGGCAAACATTTTCTGGTTTGCAGATTTCTGGATGTAATTACCTTGGTGGTTTAGTGGGCTTGAGTTTGTTTCAGAAGCTAAGTCGAGCAATCCTGACCCCTAGTTCTCCCAAACTGCACAAATTATTTCTAGTAACCTTCTCCACTAGACATGTGTTTATTTTGTAATTAATAAAGGGTAAAGAAGGCCTTAAAGGCATTTGTGCTTCAGGGCACTCAATGTAAATGAATTACAGTGCTCTTTGTATAACATCTTGGTTGATGGTAGACTAATGATGCCCTTTAAAGAAAGAAATGTGGGAATCATGAATAAAAATACTTCCAGAAATTATCAAAAGCCACATTATAGAAAGAAATTTTGTGTCTCATAGAACACTGATGGATTACTACTCATTGGTCACTAGTTATTTGAATAAGGCGACCAAGGGATTTTCCCAAATTTAGAAGATTCCTATGACTTACATATATGGACCTTCAGAGGGACTGTTCCTGAGTCTTTGAGAGGCACAGCAATGTCCTCAGTGATGTGGCTTCAGTGAAACAGTCACACAACTTAGGAGACTCCAACACAAGCAATTCCACTTTTGGGTATAAACATCAGAGTAGTGGTCTTCAAATTGGAGAAATAAGGTTCTTAGTTTCAAGAGAATCAATTCTGGATCTTTAACTTCCATATATGCTTTCTTCTAAACCTGATGTGCCTGAGAACTAGTGTAGTCAAGTGGACCTAGTAGTTCCATGTCCCCATCTCCCCTTTCGCAGTGCCCTTTATCCCACTTTAAAAGGGAAAGGAATACCCCTCTCCATCTGAACACTGAAATGATGTACTGCCTGAAAGTGTAAAAACCTTCAAGGAGCTAAAGAGATCATCTGCAATAATGATATTGCTGCTAAGTAGCTGAATAATGTATTAACAAACCCTTTTAAAAGTTAACCTGTTTAATATTAATTTTTTTTCTGGTAAATTGAAAGAGAACCTATTCAAACTATTCATTGAAAAATCATTAAAACTAAGATCACTAAGTGATGTGTGACATATAATTTGGGAAGCTTTCAAATAAATGAGTAACATTGCTAAAACAATTCCTCTCACTCACCATCTACTTATGTGAATGATATTACTCAGTGTTTACAATATAAAAGCAAAAACTAGGGATAAATGATCTAATGCTGAACTTGTCTCCTTCTAGGAATATGTAAAATTCATTTATGGTATATAAACCATTTTTTTAAGCCCAGTTGATTTTTTTATGTTTAATAATTATCAAAATTTAAAAGTATTTACTTGATTATACAAAAATACTAATGATAATTTGGAATAATTTTTAACACTGAGAAGCATTATGGTCAAGAAAGTTTAACACAATTTAAATTTTTATATAAAATTTGTTGCATGGAAATATGATACAGTCATCATCAATAAAAGATATCCACACATAATATATGTTATATCCAAATAAAAATCTGTATCAGAATTGGAAAAAAAAATTCAAGTTCAAAGAGAAAAAAGAATGATGTAAAATTTCCCATTGTAAAGAAAGTGTGTTCATTTTTTAAATGTTTTGATGGATAATGGTAACAAATTACTATAGTATTTATGAATATTGGATACATTTAAGAATTCTACTTTAAATGCTACATAGGCCAGGCACAGTGGCTTACGCCTGTAATCCCAACACTTTGGGAGGCTGAGGCGGGTGGATCACCTGAGGTCAGGAGTTTGAGACCAGCCTGGCCAATATGGCGAAACCCTGTCTCTACTAAAAATACAGGTGAAACCCCGTCTCTACTGAAAATACAAAAAAATTAGCAGGGAATGGTGGCAGGTGTGTGTAATCCTAGGTACTTGGGAGACTGAGACAGGAGAGAATCGTTTGAACCCGGGAGGCAGAGGTTGCAGTGAGCCAAGATCGTGCCATTGCACTCCAGCCTGGGTAACAAGAGCAAAAACTCTGTCTCAAAAAAAAAAAAAAAATTACATAACTAGGAAATTACTTCCTTTGCACCTACTTAAACTTACAATAAAAAAGTTCAATTCTAACTCGACCATGTGTAAGGAGGAAAAGTTTTTCCAAACTGTTTGTGGGATAAGCTAACAAAAAAGTTTAAAGACCTTACTCTAGCAAAACTGTCATATATTGAAAGCAGAAACACGTATAGGGAAATTCATGTAAATATTATTTAAAACAGCAAAAAATTAGAACCTAAATGTTCCATATAGATAAATCAAATGTGATATTTTCATATGATAAAACATTATACAGCAGGTTAAACAAATAAATTAGATGAATTTATCAACATGGAAATATTGCAAGCTTTATCAGATACTAGTTAAATCTGATTCTCAGAATTACATTGGGCTCATCCTTCTTTCATTTCTCATTCTTCTCATGACAGAGAAACCCATCCAGAAAGTAGAATAGGCGTGACATTGCCCAAACTTTGGCCCTGAAGCAGAGAACTCTGAGTGGGTATGTAACATGATCATATCGCAGTTCTAATCATGGAGCCTTCATCATTATGTAAGGTATTTTAATGACTACACTTGCTGGGAGTGGAAGGGAGATTAAACGGCTCAAATAACCAATTAGGAGGAAAAGGATTCCCTCATCATCTAGTTTTGCGTGACATAATGACGTTTCTGTCAACAACAGCCCGCATATGCCAAGGCAGTCCCATGATTATAATGGAGCTGAAAAATTCCTATCGCCTTGTGAACCTAGCCATCCTAACGTCATGAAGTAAGCATTACTCGCAGTTTGTGGTGATGCTGGTGCAAGCAAACTTACTGCGCTGTCAGTCATATAAGAGTATGGCACATTCAATTATGTACACTATGTAATACTTGATAATGATAACAACTGTTACCAGTTTATGTATTTACTATACCATACTTTTAATTGTTCTTTTAGAGTGTACTCCTTCTACTTCAGCTCCATGTATGTTACTAACTCTGAAGAGCTTCCGGTGGACAAAATGTGGATGTGGAAGACAGTGATACTGATGATCCTCACCATGTGTAGGCCTGTGCTTACATGGGTTTTTGTGTCTTAGTTTTTAACAAAATAAGTCTAAAAAATTTTTTAAAAATTAATTTAAAAATAGAAAAAAGCTTATAGGATATAAAGAAAATATCATTGATATGTAATAATAACTTATTACTTTGTTATTTAATAACTTATTGAAGAAATTTTTTATAAATTATAGCCTAGTGTACAGTGTTTATGCAGTTTACAGTAGTGTACAATAATGTCCTAGGCCTTCACAGTGACTCACCACTCACTCATTGACTCACCCAGAGCAACTTCCAGTCCTGCAAGTCCCATTCATAGTAAATGCCTTATACAGGTATACCATTTATCTTGTATACCATATTTTTACTGTACCTTTTCTATATTTAGGTATATTTAGATACACAAATACTGACCATTATGTTACACTTGCCTACAGTACTCAGTATAGTAGCATGCTGTACAGGTTTGTAGCCTAGAAGCAACAGACTGTACCACATAGCTTAGGTGTGTAGTGGGCTACACCATCTAGGTTTGTGCAAGTACACTTTATCATGTTTGCACAAAGACAAAATTGTCTATGGATTCATGTCAGAACAAATCCCTGTTATGTGACACATGGCTATATTTGGAACCACTGCTTGCCTGGAAAGAGGAAGTAAGGTACTTGTTTACTTACATATGAATGATGGATAAAAGAAATATTAGTGATTTCACAAATATCCAATGGCGAGATAAGTGAAAATGACTCTTAGCAAGAAATTAATTATATACTAATAAAATCAGTTGTGGAGTTATTTTCTGTAGGAAAGCAAAATCCTTACCATAATGCCCAGTAGTAACAATTAAATTGTTTGCTTATTCATATGAATTCTATTCTACTCTTTCTGTTTAGGGAAATCTGCTTAAACATTTGAGTATTATTTTATTGTCTTTTCTTTTTTTTTTTAAATTAAAGGTCGCTTACTAGTCTGGTTTCCATTAGTGGCCATAACCAAGGGAGAGGAACCAGCTGGCGTGGGAAGGGGTCATCTCCACAACATTCCATTTATACACAGAACTAAACAGACAAGCACAGAGTCACTGTTGTGGTTAGAAGTTGTAGCATGGGAAGGGGGAGGAACAGGTGGAAAGCGGGGTTGTTTTTAAAATATATATATAGGCCTTCCCCAACTGGGGTTCCTGGGGGAAGTTGGTCTGCTTCAACCCAAGAGGAAGCAGAATATCCAAGCAGTTTGGGAAGGCCAGAACTGTCAGGGATGGAGAGAGGAGGAAAATCCAGGGAGTTGGGGGTCTGTTTGGCAATGGGGGTAAAGGGAGTGCCTTCCCTCTGCTGGGATTCCCCCAGCCCCTCCAGTCTGGCAGGAAGGGGCCAGCCTGCAATCCCTGAGGGCAGGTCTGGGACTACTAGATTCTCCAGGAAAGGGGCTGGAGGGGATCACAAAGGTTTGTCCTCCAGGAAGATGACGGTGCTGACCCCTAGCTTCTTCTTGATGGTGTCCTTGGAGCTGGCATAGATCATTTTGCTCTTAATGGATGCAGACTCAGAGGCCCAGAAGACAAACACCAGGTCCTTCTTCTTGCTGTCCTTGGTGGCATCATAGGGGGCGTAGGGCAGTCCTTACCTGTCAGCATCTTGACAAAGGTGGTATAGGGATCATCAATGGTTTGGTCCACATTAATTACCAGGATCTTGTTGGCCTCTGCGAGAATGATGTTCTTCTTGTACTCACTCAGGCAGAAGGGCAGCAACTTCTTGCGCTTCTTCGCCTTTTCTAGTGTTGAAGACTTGCACACTTTCATGTCACTGAACAACTGGATGACATCATCAAAGACAGCCACATGGCAGCCCATGTTTCCAAAAGTGAAAAGGAAATGGCAAGGAGAGCCGCTGCAGCTGCTGCCAGGATCTGACTGGACATTTACATATTTTGAAAATGAAGTCTTATTTTCTCAATGACCCTGTTAAAAAATCAGTAATAACATAAAATGGGGCTGTAATAAGAACAATAATGATAATAACTGTATTTATTATTACTAACATTTGTTGATAACACTTAATGGAGTCATTTAAGGGTATGTATGGTCTTATGAAGCCCTCTGGCATGTTTGCATTTTCTCCCCAGGTCTCTGCAAATATGTTTCTATAAGGATAGTGTGGGGTAAGCACTGTCACACAAGTAATAATGAATATTTATTAATTGTATACTACTACTAAATGACCTACCGGCATGATCTACTTAAATACCTCTTATGTATCTCTTAAAATTTGCTGCTACACTGCTTCTCTACCAAAAGTACTAAAGCCATCCTTCTCTGATAGCAGCTGAGGCTATATTATAATTTCTGCAATTTTCTACCTTCAGGAGTTTTCTCCCTAAGGTTTCCAGTATTCTGAACATACTCTCCTGGCAAACTCCTCCCATCAGCTCACCAGACATGCCTAGACAAGTTCTAACCTCAACTGTGAATGCAGCCTTTATGTGAGTACTCTACCAGAGGAGGGAGAAAGGGAGAAAAGAAATGTTATCAGAATTATTGTATTCATTAACCTTCATAATATATATGTGAAAGGAGGATACAGTGGAATAAGGATTGTGGCCATGCACATAACATTAAACTAGATTGCTATCTGTTGATAAAGATTTCCAATTTCTTGCTACATTTATTTTTATTTACTTTTTATTATTTTTTTAAGAGACAGGGTCTCACTATGTTGCCCAGGCTGGTCTCGAACTCCTGGGCTCAAGTGATCCTCCCGTCTCAGCCTCCCAAAGTGCTGGGATTACAGGTGTGAGCTACTGCAGTGGCCTCTTGCTACATTTAATACTTCACATTACTCCATTCTTTTCTTTGGAGCAGACTGAAGCATTCCTTTTTTCCTCTTTTTCTTTTTTTGAGACAGAGTCCCACTCTATTGCCTAGGATGGAGTGCGGTGGCACGATCACAGCTCACTGCAGCCTCAACCTCCCAGGTCCAAGTGATTCTCCTACCTCTCAGCCTCGAGCAGCTGGAACTACAGGCATGTGCCACAACACCCAGCTAATTTTGGTATTTTTTGTAGAGAGGGTTTCGTCATGTTGTCCAGGCTGGTCTTGAACTTGGGCTCCAGTGATCCTCCTGCCTCAGCCTCCCAAAGTGCTGGGATTACAGGTGTGCACTCCCGGCCTCTGAAGCATTCCTTGAGTCAGATATGCCTGGTGTTGTTTTACTCAACCTGAGTCACCTTTTGGTTCCCTATTCACCACTACCTACTGCCTTACCCTTAAAGGGGAGGTACTTACTATGTATACTCAGATCATAAATTCCTCAGGAAGCTATTTATCATGAAGTTAAAAGTACAGTTTCTGGAACAAGATGGTTTGTTTTCAAATTTTGCTCTGCCACTTACCAGTTGTGAGATCTTTGGCAAGTTACTTAATCTCTATGTACCCAGGTCCTCATCTGTAAAATGGAGATGATAATAGTAGCCATCTCTTTGGGTTTTTAATTTTTTTTTTTTTTTTGAGATGGAGTCTCACTCTGTTTCTCAGGCTGGAGTGTAGTAGCACGATCTCAGCAAGCTGCAACATCCCCCTACCAGGTTCAAGCGATTTCCCTGTCTCAGCCTCTTGAGTAGCTAGGATTTCAGGCACCTGCCACAATGCCCGGTTAATTTTTATATTTTTAGTAGAGATGGGGTTTCACCATGTTGGCCAGGGTGATCTCGAACTCCTGACTTCAAGTGATCTGCTCGCCTTACCCTCTCAAAGTTGCTGGGATTACAGGCATGAACCACCGCACCCGGCCTCTCATTGAGTTTTTATAAGGATTGAATGAGGGTGTATGCGTGTAAAATCACTTAGGACAAGCCTGGCACACAGAAAGCACTATATAAGTGTTAGTTGTTATTATTATTGAGTGCAGGTACTCTGTCTAACTCAATTGTACTCTCTTTGCTGCCCTCTCTGACACCTGGCATATTGTTTGATACATGATAAGCTTTCAGTAAAGGCTGAATGAGCGATGAATAACTATCATCAAATAAAAGATAGGAGATAAGAAAATAAAGATTTTCTTAGCTTTGAGATATCCCAGTAAAACAGTACTTTTGAAATAATTGTATATCTTTTATTATAATTCTATGTCACACCAATGTTTCGGTTGAGAGTCTAAGAAGGCTGCATTTGCCTCTGAATCGATCTATGGTCAAGGCTTTGTATTGTGGGAACAGCTCAATCATATTGACCTGGCACATGCTTCTCTGAAGTCACATGTCCAGCATTATGACATGAGCAAGAATGCACGTAACCTCTTGATTCCACTCATTCGAAGTTCTCTGTGGGGACTAGGTTCAGAAGATGTCAGCTCCCCCGTAGACCAGCTTCCCAGAGAATGTCGCCTGCAAACTAGAATGATGCTAGTCCCAGCTTAACTGTGCAAAGAGAAAACCAGAACGGGCTCCCCAAGAACCAGGTTCATTCATTCACAGTTATCAGAAGGTACAGTAACATTTAGAATCAAAACTTCATATAGGCTCTAGTGTAAAGCTTGACAACTCCTAACTACATCTTAGCTTTCACTTCAGTGGAAGCATCTCATAATGCTAGCAGTATTTTTAAGTATCAGAGAGATGCTCAGTTAAGTTTGATACGCTCCATGACTAAAAGACTATATACTTTTTCAATTATAAACAAACATACAAATAAAACTTATCAGCTGGATATAATATAGCCCTGAGATAAAAATATCATCATATATTACTTTACATTATGATGTCATGTTATGTTCTTTCTACGCTTTCGTGTGGGACATTATGTATGTTCTTTCTACACTTTGGTACATGACATTATCTGGAAAGACCTTAATCACTATTTATATTTTATGTTTTCCAGAGGGAACACCAAGAGAGGAAATGTCAAACTTAAGAAATATTCTGTTCCCTGAAGCGGGGGAAAAAAGGGATATGAGGCCTTGTTAATTACAAATCAAACATAGTAACATACCTGTTTCCTCAGTTGCAGTAGAAATAACCAAAATTCCCTCAAATGTGCACTCCTAATTTTGTTCAAGAAACTAATGTTTCTCTTTCAAACAAGTTCTGATGAAATTATCATTTTCTTTTTTCTTTTTCAGAGACAGGGTCTCACTCTGTCACCTAGGCTGGAGTGTAATGGCACAATCATGGTTCACTGCAGCCTCAACCTCCTGGGCTCAAGTGATCCTCCCACCTCAGCCTTCAAGTAGCTAGGACTACAGGGGCACACCACAACACCCGGCTAATTTTTTTACTTTTATTTTTAGAGACAGGGTCTCAGTATGTTGCCCAGGCTGGCCTCAAACCTTTGGCTTCAAGCAATCTTCCCACCTTGTCATCCCAAAGTGTTGGGATTATAGGCATAAGCCACTGCATCCAGCCTGAAATTATCATTTTCTAATATTTCTCTTTTAATTTTCCCTAAGAAGGAAGTAGCCAAATCACAATTAAGGTTTAATTTCACAGAGTATCCTGATTAACTCTGGAACTATGTAATGTTTTAGTAAAATTATAGTGTGGGAGAGAAAAACCACAGTATTTTTATTCTAGAATTGAGGTCAGTAATAATCTTTTTATTCCTAAGTGATTCAAACAGAGTTAATTCATGTCTCTGGCCACTACTGGCAGGGCTAAAGCCTGGCCATGAAGTGAAGGACAACATGGAAAGGTGGAACAGGAACAGGAAGGCAGCATACAAGGAAAAGATGGGAGGTGTTGACAGATTTTTAAAAAGGATCAAGGATGAGCAGTTTCTTTAAATCCCACTACTTCTTTAAATCTACTGATTAATCTAGGTTCACAGATATAAAAACTGTGAGGAAGAGAAAAAGAAAAGGGAATAGATGAGATGGAAAAGATTACTGGGGTGTGGGGGAAGAAAGAAAGAAATCCATCTGGTGGAGAGCAATAGAGCATAACATGAAATTGCCTTAGGTACAAAGCTCACTGATCTATTCTAGAGTCTTCGTCCCACTTGAGACAATAGCCTAGTTCTAGTCCAGTTCCACTCCAATTATAAGGACTTGTCCTTCTCTTCTGATGGTCAAGAATTACTCATGTTCGGTTTATTATTAGGTAAAAATTTATTTAAAACTACTATCTGCAGCAGACAAGCAAATTGCTTTATCTTCCTTCTACTCATTTATATTTATTCAATACGATCCTCATTTCTTAGAGTTTAACAGGATGTATGTGAAAGAAATGGATTGTTGGCTCCTAACCAAAAGTTCTCTTTGAGGCAAGCTTCTCAGAGATAAAAATAAAAATAATTGGCCCAAACAGGACCTAGGTCACCTAGCCTTGAGATTATTTACAGAGAAACATCAGGCAAATTTAGTCAAGGTGACTGAAGACCAAACAATTAAGCAATAAGTTAATTCAAAAAAGACATATCAAAATATATATATTTGAAGTGTTACAACTACATGACACAGAATTATTGGATCTCTAAAGCTACCCATCTAGTTTTGGGGGATTTGTTTCTATTTCTGTCTAGAAATTCAGCTAAGTATAATTTGTTATAAATCTTGAAGAAAACATGTACAGGTAGAATTATGAGGAAAAGTAGTGATTGATTTGGGAAGAATGACGCAATATGTAGTACCAAGAATTTTTTCATAAATATGTTGGCAATTGTCTTCGTCTGCTCAAGGTGCCAAAACAAAATACCATAGACTGGATGGCGAAAACAGCAGAAATCTACTTTCTCACAGTTTGAGAGGCTGGGAAGTCCCAAATCAAGGTGCCAGCTGATTTAATTCCTGGTGAAGCCTCTCTTTCTGGCTTGCAGACAGCTGCCTTCTTTCTATGTCTTCACAAAAAGGAGGGGCGGGGGGGGGGGGGAGAGAGAGAGAGAGAGAGAGAGAGAGAATATGAATGAGCTCTCTGATGTCTCCTCTTATAAGGGCACTAATCCCATCATGATGCCCCACTCTCATGACCTCATCTAATCCTAATTACCTCCCAAAGGCCCCATTGCTAAATACCACTACATTCAGGGTTAGGGCTTCAACTTGTGCATTTTAAGGAGACAAAAACATTCAATCCATAACAGCCATTTAAAAACAATGTTCCATTACAGCTCTAGGCAAGATGGAGTAAGCACACTCCATCCTGTCTTTTTTTTTTGAGACAGAGTCTCACTCTGTCACCCAGGTTGGACTGCAGTGCCACAATCTGAGGCTACAGGTGTGCACCATCGCGCCCAGTTAATTGTTGTATTTTTAGTAGAGACTGGGTTTCACCATGTTGACCAGGCTAGTCTTGAAGTTCTGACCTCAGGTGATCCAACCACCTCGGCCTTCTAAACTGTTGGGATTACAGGCGTGAACCACTGCGCCCAGCCCACCCTGTCTTTATCATTAAATATAGTTATAAAACCTAGATAGAATGCATGAAGCAGCTACTTGAGGACACTGGAAGATAAAAAGTAGCAAGTGAATTGGGGAAAAAGACTAGAATTTAAAGTACTACTGAACAAGCAGTGAGTTTTCTATTTTTGTTTTTTCCCTATCAGAACCTCAGTCTAGAAATAAGGCAGTGTGAAACTCAGAATAGGCACAGACAGACAGAGCCCCAGGAGAAGCCCTCTAGTTCTGGCTCAAGGAGCAGGAAAAGCATCTCCTAATACTCAGAGAGTGTGGGAGGAATCTGCTAATTTCTTTTCCTTTGTTCTCCATTCTCTAGTGCCTCAAGCCCCTAGAAATCCTGCTAACCAAGCAGTGGTAATGACTGCAATGTCAGCAGGTGGCCACAGGCTCCAATATCTCTGAGGGAGGAGAACCTTCTTCTGTGGAGAAGTTGGGGCCTCAGGAGGGTGGGATAAACACCAGTTGATTTTTTCTTCTCTGTCCTTCCACTGCTGAGCCCTGGACATAGTGTAGTACCAGAAAGTACATACCACATAGTAGGGTAACTAAAGCACTAGATTCCTGGCTGTGGGACTGAAAGAGGAAGTCCTAGGAATAAGAAAGTACTAGAGACCATGAAGAGGGAGGAACTCAGGGAAGTAGCATTTAAGTTGATTATAACCTCCTAGACTCACCTTCAAGTTGCACAAGGATGGATCTGATCGCAAACAGCATAGGTACCAAAAAGACTTTGAGACTGAACTAAAGGACACACAATTCCATCACCCTACCACTACTGACTGGTAGTACACATAGAGGATAGATCTAAATAGCATGGAAAGCAAAATATTCTTTTTGAAAATGGAATTGACATTGAAACTACAACTGACAGAAGGTTGGTTGGAACTTTTGGCTTGAACCAAAACAGATCTATTACCTGCTAAAACAAAAATATCAGTATTCTCCATATGATTTAAACAAAACCCAGAGTCTTTTTTTTTTTTTTTTTTTTTTTGAGAAGGAGTCTCACTTTGTCTCCCAGGCTGGAGTGCGGTGGCGCGATCTCGGCTCACTGCAAGCTCCGCCTCCCGGGTTCACACCATTCTCCTGCCTCAGCCTCCCGGTAGCTGGGACTACAGGCGCCCGCCACCAAGCCCGGCTAATTTTTTGTATTTTTAGTAGAGATGGGGTTTCACCGTGTTAGCCAGGATGGTCTCGATCTCCTGACCTCGTGATCCGCCCGCCTTGGCCTCCCAAAGTGCTGGGATTACAGGCGTGAGCCACCGCGCCCGGCCCAGAGTCTTATAATATATTAAATGTCTGGGATACAATTCAAAACTATTCAGTGTAAGAGAACCAGGAAAATCTCAACTCACATAAGAAAAGACAATAGAGACAATGCCAGGATGCTACAGATGCTGGAATTAGCTGACTATAGCTTTAAAACAGTTATTAGAAAAGTGTACCAGATCGTAAGATAAAAAAGTTCCTGAAAGAAATGCAAAAAATAATTTAAAAAAACTATGAAATTGAAATTCAGAACTAAAAAATATAATAACAAAGAACTAATTGTATGGGCTCAATTACAGAATGGAGATGAGAGAGGAAATAGTCGGTGAATTTGAAGATGAGGCAACAGAAATTATCCAATGTGAACAATGAAGAGAAAAAATATTGAGGAAAAAAAGCTGTGCCTGAGGGACTGGTGGGACAATACCAAAAGATCTAACATTTACGATATTGGAGATCCAGAAGAAGAGAGGAAAGAATACAATGTAGTAACAAATATTTGAAAGAATAAAAATTTCTTAAATTTGGTGAAAAACATAACTTACAGATTCAAGAAACTCAGAGAACACCAAACAGGGTATAACCAAAGAAATTCATGCCCAAACACATCATAATCAAGCTGCTAAAAACTGAAACAAGAAAAATTATTGAAAGCCGGTAGAAAAAAATGATACATTATTTACAGGGGAAAAGCAACGTGAATGTCTGTAGATTTCTCATCAGAAACCATGGAGGATGGAATGAAGTAGAACAACTTAAAGGGCTAAAAATAAAAAACCTGTCAACCCAGAATTCTGTATTTAGCACAAATATCCTTCATGATTAAATTTGAAATAAACACATTTTTGGGGGAGGAAAACAAAGATAATTTGTTGTCTGCATACCTGCTCTAAAGAATTACGAATGGAACTTCTTCAGACAGACAGAAATGACATCATAAGGTAACCTGAAACATCAAGAATAAGGGAGGAGCCAGACATGGTGGTAGTCTTAGCAACTTGGAAGCTGAGGTAGGAGGATCACTTCTAGTCCAGGAATTTGAGGTTACAGTGGGCTATGATTGTGCCAATGCTCTCCAGCCTTGGTGACAGAGCAAGACCCTGACTCTAAACAAAACAAAACAAAACAAAAGCAAGGAATAAAGAAGGAAAAACAGAAATGGTAAATAAAATAAACAATTCACCTCTTAAGTTCCTTAAAATTTGTTTCATGTTTGAAAGCAGAACTGATAACATTAATGGGGTTTTCAGTGTATGTAAATGCAATACATAAGACAACTACAACATAAAGAGGGAAAGGTAATGGGAGCTAAATGATTATAACATTTCTATATCCCCCTTGAAGTGTTAAAATATTGATTCTAAGTAGGTTGTGTAAAATTAAATATTCATATTTTGATCTCAATCATTAAAAACTTTTTTAAAAAGAACATATAGTCAAAAACTAACAAAAATATGGAATTTTAAAACATATACAAATGCCCCAAAAGAAGGTAGGGAAGAGAAAACAGATACATGAAAGAAAATAAAAGGAAACAAATAGAAAACAAATAAATAAAATGTCAGGCCTAAATCTGAATATATCAATTATTACATTACGTGAGAAAAAACCTAAATATACCCACTAAAACAGACTGGTAAAATGTATGCAAAAACATGACTGAGCTATGTATGTGTTGTAAAAAAGAACTCAATTCAAAATACATTTATATAGGTATGTTAAAAATAGAAAAATATATGCCATGCGAACACTAACCAAAAGGAAGCGAGAATAGTTATATTAATATCAGACAAAGTAGACTTCAGAGCAAAGAAAATTACTGGAGATAAAGAAGGGCATTATAAGATGTGTGAATTATAACCTGATAGAACTGAAAAGAGAAACAGACAAATCCACAATTATATTTGGAAACACCAATACTCCTCTCTCAGGGATGGATGGAAGTAGTAAACAGAAAATCTGCAAAAATATAGAAAAATTGAACCATACCATCAACCCAACTGTACCTAATAGATATTTATAAAATACTCCATTCAACAATAGCAGAATACATACTCTTTTAAATGTACATGGCACATTCATCAAAACATAATCCAGCCTAAAAAAGAATTGAAATCATATAAAATATGCTCTCCAGTCATAATACAATAAACTTAGAAGTAAAAGTAAAATCTCCAAACATTTATAAACATTATACTTCTAAGTAATCCATGGGTCAAAGAGGAAGCCAAAAGGAAAAAATATTTTGAACTGAATGAAAATGAAAACACAACATATGAAAATTTGTGGAATGGGATTCAGCTAAAGCAATGCTTAGAGGGAAATTTATATTTATAACATGAAATATTGACATTAAAAAAGAAGAAAGATCTCATGTCACTGATCTTTAAGAAGCTAAAAAGTTAATAATAATAAAATAAACCCAAATCAAGCAGAAGGAAGAAAATTTTTAAAAGCTAGGAGCAGAAATGAATGAAATTGAAAACAGAAAATCGATAGAGAAAAATTAATGAAACAAAAAACTGGTTCTTTAAGACCAGTGAAATTCACAAATCTCTTGCAAGATTACAAAGAAAAGACACAACTTACCATATCAGGAATGAAAGAGAAGATATCACTACAAATGCAATGGTATTCTAAAAATAAGGAAATACTATGAACAACTCAACACACATAAATATGACAACCTATGTGAAAGACTAATTCCTCAAAATCAAACCACCAAAGCTCACATAAGCAAATTTAAATAACCTGATGAATCCTATACCTGTAAAGAAACTGAATTTAGTTTAAAACCTCTCAAAAAATTTTTCCAAGCCCAGATGGTTACACTGTCAAATTCTATCAATCATTTAAAGGTGAATTAATACCAATTCTACACAAATTCTTTCCAGAAAATAGAAGAGGAGGGAACATTTACCAATTTATTTTTATAAAACCAGCATTATTCTGATACCAAAGCCAGACAAAGACAGAACAAGAAAAAACTATACACCAATATCTGCCTTGGATTTTGACACAAAAATCTTCAACAAAATATTAACAAATTGAATCCAGCAGTATATAAAAATATTATATACCATGCCAAAATGAGGTTTATCTTGAAAATGCAAAGCTGGATCAATATTCTAAAGATCAATCAATGTAATCCACCGTATTACTAAAGAGGAAA